CGCCATTGCACTCCAGCCTGGGTTCAGGCAATTCTCCTGCCTCAGCCTCCTGAGTAGCTGGGATTACAGGCACGCGCCACCATGCCCAGCTAATTTTTTGTAGTTTTAGTAGAGACGGGGTTTCACCATGTTGACCAGGATGGTCTCGATCTCTTGACCTCGTGATCCACCCGCCTCGGCCTCCCAAAGTGCTGGGATTACAGGCTTGAGCCACCGCGCCCGGCCTTGTTTTTGTTGTTTTTTAGACCATGCCACTGCACTCTAGCATGGGCAACAGAGCGAGACTCCATATATATACACATTTTTAAGTCTCCCTCTCACTCTGCTGCCCAGTCTGGAGTACAGGGGCACCAGCATAGCGCCCTGCAGCCTCAGCCTCCTGGGCTCATGGGCTGGGTGCAGTGGCTCACACTTGTAATCCAGCACTTTGGGAGGGCAAGGCAGGTAAATCGCTTGAGCTCAGGAGTTCAAGACCAGCCTGGCCATAATGTTGAAACCCTGTCTCTGCTAAAAATACAAAAATTATCCGAGCGGCCAGGTGCAGTGGCTCATGCCTGTAATCCCAGCACTCTGGGAGGCCAAGGCAGGCAGATCACCAGAGGTCGGGAGTTCGAGACCAGCCTGACCAACATGAAGAGATCTCGTCACTACTAAATATATAAAATTAGCTGGGCATTGTGGCACATGCCTGTAATCTCAGCTATTTGGGAGGCTGAGGCAGGAGAATCGTTTAGACCCGGGAGGCAGAGGTTTCCGTGAGCCAAGATCACACCATTGCACTCCAACCTGGGCAACAGGAATGCAACTCTGTCTCAAAAAAAAAAAAAAAAAAATTAAAAAAAAAAATATATATATATAATCCTGGTGGCAGGAACCTGTAGTCCCCGCTACTGGGAAGGCTGAGGCAGGAGAATCGCTTGAACCCGGAAGGTGGACGTTGCAGTGGGCTGAGATCACGCCACTGCACTCCAGCCTGGGTGACAGAGCGTGATTCTGTCTCAAACAAAACACTTCTGGTCTCATGTGATCCTCCCACCTCAGCCTCCCAAATTGCTGGGATTATAAGCACATACCACCGTGCCCAGCCTGAGCTGAGATCTTAATCGAAAGGGGTACCAACTGTTGAAGGAAGATGTTAGGGGTAAGCGCTTTCCGGGCAGAGGGCACAGCCCATGCAAAGGTCCTGGGGCAGGACTGTGTCTGGCGTGTTTGAGGAACGGCCAGGAGGCCCGTGCAGCTGGAGCAGAGTGAGGAGTGGGAGAGAGGAAGGAGGGAAGGAAGACAGGTTGGTCACCACCCTGTAGCCTTGGGGTGGTGTGGGGAGGTGGGGGAAGTTAAGCGGTTTATCTTTGAATCTAAGTGTGATGGGAAATCAGGAAGCAGGGAAGACAGTCCAATTTAAGTTTTTGGGGCTTTCTTGAGACAAGAGTCTTACGCCGTCACCCAGGTGGGAGTGCAGTGGCGTGATCTCGGCTTATTGCAACCTCTGCCTCCCAGGTTCAAACAATTCTTGTGGCTCAGCCTCCTGAGTAGCTGGGATTACAGGCACCTGCCACCCCACCCGGCTAATTTTTGTATTTTCAGTAGAGACAGGATTTCACCAGAATGGCCAGGTTGGTCTGGAACTCCTGACCTCAAGCGATCCACCTGCCTCAGCCTCCAATTTACATTGTCATAAAAAGATCTTGGTCGGACATGGTGGCTCAGTCCTATAATCTCAGCACTTTGGGAGGCCAAGGCGGGCAGATCATGAGGTCAGCAGATCAAAACCATCCTGGCTAAAACGGTAAAACCCCATCTCTACTAAAAAAAAAAAATACAGGCCGGGCGCAGTGGCTCAAGCCTGTAATCCCAGCACTTTGGGAGGCAGAGGCGGGTGGATCACGAGGTCAAAAGATCGAGACCATCCTGGTCAACATGGTGAAACCCCGTCTCTACTAAAAATACAAAAAATTAGCTGGGCGTGGTGGTGCGTGCCTGTAGTCCCAGCTACTCAGGAGGTTGAGGCAGGAGAATTGCCTGAACCCAGGAGGCGGAGGTTGCGGTGAGCCGAGATCGCGCCATTGCACTCCAGCCTGGGTAACATGAGTGAAACACCGTCTCAAAAAAAAAAAAAAAAAAATACAAAAAATTAGCCAGACGAGGTGGTATGCGCCTGTAGTCCAGCTATTTGGGAGGCTGAGGCAGGAGAATTGCTTGTACCCAGGAGGCGGAGGTTGCAGTGAGCTGAGATCGCACCACTGCACTCCAGCCTGGGCAACAGAGTAACACTCCGTCTCAAAAAAAAAAAAAAAAGATCTTGGTTGGGCATGGCGGCTCACGCCTGTTATCCCAGCACTTCAGGAGGTCAAGACTGGATGATTGCCTGAGGCCAGGAGTTCAAGACCAGCCTGGGCAACATAGTGAGACCCATCTCTAAAAAACAAAAATAAATGAACAACAACAAAAACAGTGCTAGCAGCTAGAGCTGGGGGAGAGGGAAGGAGGAATGGAGGTTTTCGCCTGAGGAAATGTGTGAAGGGCAATAGCCTTTGTCCTTTTTTTTTTTTATTTTTTTTTTTTTTTGAGATGGAGTTTCACTCATATTACCCAGGCTGGAGTGCAATGGCGCGATCTCGGCTCACCGCAACCTCCGCCTCCTGGGTTCAGGCAATTCTCCTGCCTCAGCCTCCTGAGTAGCTGGGATTACAGGCACGCACCACCATGCCCAGCTAATTTTTTGTAGTTTTAGTAGAGACGGGGTTTCACCATGTTGACCAGGATGGTCTCTATCTCTTGACCTCGTGATCCACCCGTCTCGGCCTCCCAAAGTGCTGGGATGACAGACGTGAGCCACCACGCCCAGCCGGCCTTTGTCCTTAATTGTAAACACAGAGGGAGGTGCCGCTGGAGTGGAAAGTTTGCTTTTGGCCCGGAGGCGTCTGACGTGTCTGTTAGACCCCCGCAGAAGGTGAGGTTATGGCAAGTTCCTGGCATCTGAGATGCAATTGCAGATGAGGATGGAGACATGAGATCCGGGAAGGGCATCAGGCAGCTGGAACAGCAGCTGCAAAGGCCTGAAGGTCGGATCCAGGCTTCCCATTGGGGAAACAGAGAAAGTTAGGCCCCCAGGCTTGAGCGAAGGGAGGCAGCTAAAGGCTTGCAGAGGGTGGAGAGCAGAGAGGCCAGGCCAGGCCGGTGTGCAGGGCAAGGGTCAGCCTGTCTCCTAGGGGCCTCCTCAGAGGATGCTTCCTTAATCCTCCAGCCCTGGTAATGTTCTGAGTCTCATTACCGAGACTCCCTCAGAGGGAGGTGGCCTTATCTGGCAGAGAGGAGAGACTGAAGTTTAGGGGGGCTCTGAGCTGGGGAGCAGTCAGCAGGGGATGACAGCAAGAGGGGGGTGTGGAGGGGAGGGAGGCCCAAGTACTCACCCCAGAGCTGCACCAGGAGGACAAGCATCATGCCTGGGGACCCCGTTCCTGGCCCATCAGGCCCCCTCTCCCCCTCCCAGTTCACAGACTTCCTGCCACAATCTCCGCCTCCTGCTGCAGAGGCAGATGTGACACCCAGGGCCAGACAGCAGACGTCCGGCGTTCCAGGCTGCTGAGGGCTCCACTTCCTGCAACTGTGTGCCTCAGTTTCCCCAATGCGTTTTCTATCTGAAAGACAGTGTACGGGCTGGGCGACATGGCTCACGTCTGTAATCCCAGCACTTTGGGAAGCTGAGGCAGGTGGCTCATCCGAGGTCAAGACCAGCTTGGCCAACATGATGAAACCCTGTCTCTACTAAAAATACAAAAATTAAGCCGGGCGCAGTGGCTCAAGCCTGTAATCCCAGCACTTTGGGAGGCCGAGGCGGGTGGATCACGAGGTCAAGAGATCGAGACCATCCTGGTCAACATGGTGAAACCCCGTCTCCACTAAAAATACAAAAAATTAGCTGGGCATGGTGGCACATGCCTGTAATCCCAGCTACTCAGGAGGCTGAGGCAGGAGAATTGCCTGAACCCAGGAGGCGGAGGTTGCGGTGAGCCGAGATCGCGCCATTGCACTCCAGCCTGGGTAACGAGAGCGAAACCCCATCTAAAAAAAAAACAAAAAAAAAACAAAAAAAAAAAAAAAAAAATTAGGTGGACGTGGTGGTTGGTGCTTCTAGTCCCGGCTACTCAGGAATCTGAGGAAGGAGAATGGATTGAACCTGGGAGGTGGAAGTTGCAGAGAGCTGAGATTATGCCACTGCACTCCAACTGTGTGTGTGTGTGTGTGTGTGTGTGTGTGTGTGTGTGTGTGTGTGTGAGAGAGAGACAGAGAGAAGAAGAAGAAGAAGAAGAAGAAGAAGAAGGAGAAGAAGAAGAAGGAGGAGAAGAAGAAAGAACAAAAGAAAGAAGAAAAAGAAAGGCAGGCAGGCAATGTACTTAGGTGAGTGGCGGGAATGCACCCCTGTGATCTTTCTGGAAGGCTCTACATAAACACATCTGGGTACAGGAAGACACAATGAGAGAGCAGGTGACTTTGTGGGGGAGGGTCAGTCAGCATAAGCCTGAGCAGTTAAATGACAGGGTCCTTACCTCGGTTGTTTTGTTCCCAAAATACCTTTTTTTTGATTGGGCACTACAGCTCACACCTGTAATCCCAGGACTTTGGGAGGCTGAGGCAAGAGGATCGTCTGAGATCAGGAGTTTGAGACCAGCCTGGGTAACACAGGGAGACCCCATCTCTATTAAAAAAAAAAAAAAAAAAAAGATACAGGCTGGGCACAGTGGCTCATGCCTGTAATCACTTTGGGAGGCTGAGGAGGGTGGATCACCTGAGGTCAGGAGTTCGAGACCAGCATAGCCAACATGGCGAAACCCCATCCCCACTAAAAATACAAAAATTAGCTGGGCCTAGTGGCGGGCACCTGTAATCCCAGCTAGTCAGGGGGGTTGAGACAGGAAAATTGCTTGAACCGGGGAGGCAGAGATTACAATGAGCCGGGATCCTGCCACTGTAGTCCAGCCTGGGCTACAGAGTGAGACCCTGTCTCAAACAAACAAACAGAAAACAGCCCAGGGTGGTGGTGCATGCCTGTGGTCCCAGCTACTAGGGAGGCTGAGGCAGGAGGATCACTTGAGCCCAGAAGTTGGAGGCTGTAATAAGTCATGATTGCGCCACTGCACTCCAGCCTGGGCAACAGAGTGAGTCCTTGTCTCTGGAAAAAAAAAAAAAAAAAAAGATGGGTTCAGTGACTCATGCCTGTAATGCCAGCACTTTGGGAGGCTGAGGCAGGATGATCATGAGGTCAGGAGTTCAAGACCATCCTGACCAACTTGGTGAAACCCCGTGTCTACCGAAAAGACAAAAATTAGCTGGGCGTGGTAGCAGGCGCCTGTAATCCCAGCTACTCAGGAGGCTGAGGCAGGAGAATCGCTTGAACCCAGGAGGTGGAGGTTGCAGTGAGCGGAGATCGCACCACTGCACTCCAGCCTGGGCAACAGAGTGAGACTCCATCTCAAAAATAATAATAATAATAAAGTTTTCCTTTGCGGTTCAGAGAAATAGATATCTGTTCATAATTTTGGGTCCTATTACATGGCCTGGGAGAAGCTTGGGGGTCCCGTGGAGGAGGTTCATGGGCTCGAGTTCCTTACAGCTCTGCACCCCCCTACCCCTGATTCTGTAGTGCCTTCTGGGAGGAGGTGGCGAACCCACAGACCTCAACTTCTCAGACTCAACTGCAGAGTGACCTCCTTTCTCACTGGGACCCAGAAGGCCTACATCATCCACCGCGTTCCTCCTGACCACAGGGAGGGCCCTGCGGTGGCTGTGCCTCACGTCCCCAGCAGACACACACACCCTCCCAGCCTCCCCTGCCCACTCCTTCCCCTCCCCAGAACATTCTGAAGCTCCACCCATCCCCCCTCCCTCTGCTGAGGGACCCTGGATAGATTAGGCCCTAGGCCCTTCCAGAGCTGGACACAGACATTCTTAGCTTCCGTGCCTGGGCTGGCATGAAGACTTCTGGAGGAGCTGTTGGAGCCTGGGGCTTTGTGGGGTGTATAGGAGTTCAGTTGTAACATAGGGACAAATGGAAAGAAGGCATTAGAGGCTGAACACCCTCTTGGGCAACAGCCTTAGATTTTCAGCAAATGCAAGGCACGAGAAGGCGGGCTAGACAATTTGAGTAGCAACGAATAACATGTGTGGGTGAACAAGTGGGGAAACTGAGGCACAGGAGCTCTAGAGATGATTCTGAGGTCCCACGGCAGGGCCGGGGGTCGAGCCCCCTGTCTTCTGATCCAGGGCTCTCTCCAGCTTACATGTTACCACCAACAGCGCCCGGTGAGCCCCAGGCGCTGGACGTGCGGGCTCTGGGCGAGCCCAGCGCGGAACTACATTTCCCAGGCGGCCGCGGCGGCCGCGCCTGCGCAGTACGCGCGGTGATGGAGCGCTAACCGGGGGCGCGGCGGCGGCGAGGGCTCGGCGGGCCATTGGCTACCGGCCGCGGCAAAGGCAGCTTGGGGACCCAGAGTGCGCGGGGCCCGCGGGCCGGGCCGGAGTGACCTGGGCTGCAGCCATGGAAGAACAGAGGGTAGGACGGGGCGGGGCGGGGCCGGGCGTCGGGGGCGGGGGAGGGGACCAGGTGTTACCGCAGCGCGCCCCCCCACGCCTCCGCCCCAGCTGCTCTGCGGCCGAGGCCCCACCCCGTCGCGACCCCGCCGGGATTTAGCCCCCATACTCTAGTTTGGGACGCAGCGCCCCCCCATGTTGGCTTGGCGCCAGATTCGTGCCCTCTACACTCCCCACAACCCACCCAATATCCAAGTCCCAGCCCGGACCCCCATCCCCCACGCCCGCCCTCCCGGCCGCGGACCAGGCGTCCCAGCCCCCGCCCCACCCCGGAGGACGCCACGCCAGCTCCGCAGTGCGGACCCCACCGACCCTGCCCCTGTGAAAAGGAGCCCGTCGGAAGCGTGGGTCAGAGCAAGGGGCCCCGAGAGGGATCCTCCCTCCCAGAATCCCCTGCCCTTCCCCCAGGACTCCCTGCCCCCTCCCCGCCTACCAGGGGCCCCGCATTTCGGACTCCCAGGTTCCACTTTTTTGCCCAGGTAATTTCTTTTTTCTTGCTTATCCTTCTCCCCCAGGTAGGCCCCATCCTCAGGGGTTCCCCTTCCCTGGCTCACCCCTGTTGCGAGGCTAGCCTGTCCCAGTGGATAGCCTGTCCCAGGCTATCCCACTTCCCTACGGTTTTTCCTTCCACCAAGAACCCTTTCCCCAGGTTAGCCCATTTTCCAAAAGGCATCCTTTTCCTCTGGGGTTTTCTGTCCCCAGGGTGGCCCCTCGCGCCCCACCTTCAGGTTGCAGGTGACGGGTTGTAGCCTTTGTGCTCGGGCAGGCCTGGTTTGGGGCCGGGTTGTTTCCCTTCCTGAGACGTTCTCTTTGAGCCTCAGTTTTCTCTCCTGTAATATGGGGTTGCTTAGGGCTCCCAGCTGCTATAGGTGAGTTGTATCAGTCCAGAGCTTCACCTGTTGGCTGGTGCACAAGCTTGATAGCTCTCTCTGGATCCCTGTAGGGGGGCGCTGACCCTACAGGGAAGAGCCTGGTCAGGCTGAGGGGCTCATCTGCCTGCCACGTGTGTGTGCACGTGTGTACGTGTGTGTGCACATGTGGGTGTACGTGTATGCACATGTATGTGTCCACACTTCTGGTGGTGCAGGAGGCCCTGAGGAAGATCATCACAACACTGGCCGTGAAGAATGAAGAAATTCAGAGCTTTATCTACTCCCTGAAACAGATGCTGTTGAATGTGGAGGTGAAGGCGGTGGGGGAGTCCTGGGGGAGTCCTGGGGCAGCGGGTGGAGGGAGGCACAGGATGCAGCTGTAGGAACTGGCCCATTGCTGTTGATACCTGTGGGAGGCCTCAGTTTCCCCCTCTGTACATGGGCTTTGGCCAATCCTGGCTGTTTCGAGCCAGGCGAACTCGGCGAAGGTGGAAGAAGACCTCGAAGCGGAGTTCCAGTCCCTCTTCTCCCTCCTGGAGGAGCTGAAAGAAGGCATGCTTATGAAGATAAAACAGGACCGTGCCAGCCGTACCTACGAGCTGCAGGTGAGGGTTGGGGGCATCCTCCTCCCCTCCCGCCTTTCCCACTCAACAGAGCATAGGTGGCCTGGGCATCTTTCTCCAAAACTGGGAGCTGTTGAGTTTCTGATCTCTCCCCTGGCCCCTCCCTGTCCATGGACTCATCAACCTGACATCTACCTGTGCTCTCTCTTTATTTTTGAGACAGAGGTCTCACTCCGTCATCCAGGCTGAAGTGCAGTGGCACGATCTTGGTTCACTGCAACCTCCGCCTCTCGGGTTCAAGTGATTCTCCTGCCTCAGCCTCCTGAGTAGCTGCAATTACAGGAACCTGCCACCATGCTAGGCTAATTTTCATATTTTTAGTAGAGATGGGGTTTCACTGTGTTGTCCAGGCTGGTCTTGAACTACTGACCTCAGGTCATCCTCTTGTCTCAGCCTCCCAACGTGCTGGGATTACAGGCATGAGCCAGCTCACCTGGCCCACCTGTGCTCTCTCTGAATCTCCTTTCCATCATGGTGCCCCCATGTCTAGCTCAGATCTTCACCCTCCTGTCTTCCCTCAGCGCCACCAGTTTCTCACTCCTTCCCACTGGTCCCCTAGATCTGAAGGCATCACCCCCACTCAAACACATTCCGTGGTTTCCATGGGCTCTGACTCAGACTCCAAGCTGGGGTCACTCAGGCTGCATCCAGACCTCCTGGGCAACTCCTGACATGGCAGATTCCTGTCCCAGAAGGAACAGGAGCCCAGAAGCCTGGGTGTGGCCTGGGAATGTGAGTTTTCGGTTTGTTTGTGTTTTGAGACAGAGTCTTGTTCTGTCACCCAGACTGGAATGCAGTGGTGCAATCCTGGCTCACTGGAGGCTCCACCTTTCAGGCTCAAGCGATTCTCCCGCCTCAGCCTCCCAAGTAGCTGGGACTGCAGGAGCGGGCCACCGCACCCAGCTAGTTTTTGTATTTTCTGGTGGAGACTGGTTTTCACTATGTTGTCTAGGCTAGTCTGGAACTCCTGGGCTCAAGCAATCCTCCTGCCTTGGCCTCTCAAAGTGTTGGAATTACAGGCGTGAGCCCCTGTTCCTAGCTCATGGGAGTTTTTGGTTTGTTTTTCTGAGACAGAGTCCCGCTCTCTTGCCCAGGCTGGGGTGCAGTGGTGCAATCTCAGCTCACTGCAACCTTCTCCTACCAGGTTCAAGTGATTCTCTTACCTGAGCCTCCAGAGTATCTGGGATTACAAGCACCCGCCACCATGCCCAGCTAATTTTTGTGTGTCTGTTTGTTTTTTTGAGATGGAGTTTCATTCTTGTCACCGAGGCTGGAGTGCAATGGCATAATCTCAGCTCACTACAACCCCTGCCTCCCGGGTTCAAGTGATTCTCCTGTTTTAGTCTCCTGAGTAGCTGGAATTACAGGCACCCGCCACCACCATGCCTGGCAGATTTTTTTTGTAATTTTAGTAGAGACAGGGTTTCACCATATTGGCCAGGCTGGTCTCAAACTCCTGACCTTGTGATCCGCCCACCTTGGCCTCCCAAAGTGCTGGGATTACAGGCGTGAGCCACCATGCCCAGCCTTGTTTTTCCACTTTTAGTAGAGATGGGGTTTCACCATGGTGGCCAGGATAGTCCTGAACTCCTGACCTCAGGTGATCCTCCCGCCTTGGCCTCCCAAAGTACTGGAATTACAGGCGTGAACCACCCACCCAAACTCTTGTGAGTGTTTAAGGAAGGGATTTCCAGGGTTTACTTCTATACTCCCAAGAGCCTGGCCCAATTTGATGGGGCCCTTGAGGCTCCAACATCCATCTCCCACCTGGAGTTCGAGAAGGGCATGGTACCCTGGACCCCGAAGGGGGTGAGGAGCCCTTGGGGGGCCTGAGGCAGTAGAGTGACTTGTCTCCTCTTTGTGTGCCTGGTGTCCACAGAACCAGCTGGCTGCCTGCACGCGGGCCCTGGAGAGCTCTGAGGAGCTTCTAGAGACGGCCAACCAGACTCTGCAGGCCATGGACAGTGAGGACTTTCCTCAGGTGAGCACCTCTGATGCTGCCGGGTAAAGAATAGTGTGCCTGGCTGGGCGCGGTGGCTCACGCCTGTGATCCCAGCACTTTGCAAGGCTGAGGCGGGTGGATCACGAGGTCAGGAGTTCAAGACCAGCTTGGCCAAGATGGTTAAACCCTGTCTCTATTGAAAATACAAAAATTGGCCGGGCGCGGTGGCTCACGCCTGTAATCCCAGCACTTTGGGAGGCCGAGGCGGGTGGATCACGAGGTCAAGAGATCGAGACCATCCTGGCCAACATGGTGAAACCCCGTCTCTACTAAAAATACAAAAATTAGCCGGGTGTTTGGCATGCACCTGTAGTCCCAGCTACTCGGGAGGCTGAGGCAGAAGAATTGCTTGAACCCGGGAGGTGGTGGAGGTTGCAGTAAGCCGAGACTGTGCCACTGCGCTCCAACCTGGCGACAGAGCAAGACTCCGTATCAAAAAAAAAAAAAGAAAATACAAAAATTAAGCTGGGCGTGGTGGCTCACGCCTGTAATCCCAGCACTTTGGGAGGCTGAGGCGGGCAGATCACCTCAGGTCGGGAGTTCCAGACCTGCCTGACTAACATGGTGAAACCCCGTCTCTACTAAAAATACAAAAATTAGCTGGGCATAGGGGTAGGCACCTGTAATCTCAGCTACTTGGGAGGCTGAGGTAGGAGAATCACTTGAACGCAGGAGGTGGAGGTTGCAGTGAGCCGAGATGGCACCATTGTCCTCCAGCCTGGGTGACAGAGTGACACTCATCTCAAAAAAAAAAAAAAAAAAAAGTCTGGTGTGGTGTCGGGCAGCAGGCTGGTCTCGAACCCCTGACCTCATGATCTGCCTGCCTAGGCCTCCCAGAGTGCTGAGATTACAGGCATGAACCACCTTGCCCAGCCTGAAATGCCAATTTAACTGGGTATCCTGTAGTTTTATTTACTGAATTTGCCAGCTGTCTGGACTGCGTGTGGGCAGGAGGTTGGGGTGGGGACAGGAGCCTGTCTTGGCCATCCTCCATCTTCAGGGCACAGTCAAGAAGGGGGAAAATCACGGGGTTTGCCTCCAGTGCTGGGGCAAATGCCTTCCTGCCTAGGCCTCAGTCTTCCTGTCTGTGGCTTTATGATTTGGTAGAAACAAATCTTTGGGCTGGGCACAGTGGGTCACGCCTGTAATCCCAGCACTTTAGGAGGCTGAGGCAGGTGCATCACCTGAGGTCAGGAGTTTGAGACCAGTGTGGCCAACATGGTGAATCCCACTCTAAAAATACAAAAAATAGGCCGGGCGTGGTGGCGGATACCTGTAATCTCAGCAACTCAGGAGGCTGAGGCAGGAGAATTGCTTGAACCCGGTAGGTCAAGGTTGCAGTGAGTCAAGATCATGCCATTGTAC